ACAGAACAGAGCAAAGAGAGGTCTGTGAAAGTGAAGAACTCGCCAGATGGCGACAGAACCAGTTTAGTGTAGAACTTCCTTTTGTATATATGTAAGGATGGTAACATTTCTTCAGTCAATAGCCACAGTGCAAGGTAAAAAGTCACATAAAGGGGATATGGAAAAATTGCAGCACTGAGCAGCAGAGTGTGTGTGAGATTGACAGGGAAGCTTTTATTAGTACAAAGGAAGTAACTGAAGCTATTTCCTGAAAAGCCTGTAGCCGTTTTCCAGGACACAGTGAGAGCTAGTTGAGGGTACTCCAGATGAAATCCTTAGGGCACTTGACTTCTCTGCAACACTTGATAATGTTGATAATGTTGGGGATTTGCTTCACCTTGACATTCTTTTCATTCACAGGCACAATACCACAGCTTCCTTCCCCATGGCAAACGCTACATTTTGTTGCTAAGGCAATACTTTAACACTCTTAGTTTGTTTTCCCAAGTGATTACAAGTGAGATTCTAGAGAATGTGTAAACAAATCAAAATCCCTCAAATTTGAATCTACTAAATAACAAAATTACTCTAAACCCTACCACCATAAACTGCATGCCATCTGGTAAAAATAAATAGTTTAATTCAGAGAAAAATATTATTTTTCAAATAAGAGAAACCTCTGTGCGTCCTCTTTATGGCTTTTAAGTCTCACTTGATTAAATCAAATGTAAGGCAGATACTTTTTAGATTCACACGTTTTGTTTTCTTAAAGTTTATAATGAGGTTGTTTTTTGATGCGTCCATATAAATGTTGGGGTTCCAAGGAAAAGCCATAGGATCATTATTGCACCATCTGTTCTGGCTGATTTGTTTTAGTCACATGCTTGTCACTGTTTTTACTGAGCTGTCAACAAACTGCCAATTAATTATGAAAACCTAACTGGTTGTCAGAGGTTACTGTGCTGAGAAAGTAAGCTCACCAGCCAGTCTATCATGGGATTTATTGCTGCTGATGTACAAACACTTTCCATCTACCTTCTGTAGATGAGTGAACTTTTAAAGACATCATAATGACATCTTTGCATCCTTAGCTGAAGAAAACTAAGAAGACGAGAATTAGTTCCTCATCAAGAAGAGCCATCTTTTTGTGTAGGTTTCCATTTGATAACTACATAATTGGATTTAATTATTTTTCTTAGTGCTATTTCAGTGGAGACACTGTTACAAAGTAGCCATCCACATAAGATAAACACAGAAACTAGTCTTTGCCCTTTATCCTGCCTACCATTACAGTACTGAGCTCAAATGCCTATCTGTAATAGAAATCAGAATTCTCCTAAAAAACAAAACCAGTTATCTGACTTTTAATATTAGTGCTGTTTCATTTTATCTGTGATGCCAAGTAAATCACTCCCGGTATATGATAGCTTTTGCTGAGAAAAAGCAGTTGCAATATATTTTTATTTTTGTGCAACTTATTAAGAAATATTAGACTTGAAAATCATGAAGACTATTAATGAAGAAATGAATCATGGTTAATAAAATAAGTTGATTAAGAGAGCATACAAATAGGTTGCATATAAGTTGCTGAAGATTTACACACTGACTTATTTTTAATAACTTTTAGGGAAATTTCTTGAAGCAGATATTCCTAGCCTGTTGTGTTTTGCAGAGAAAACATTTCAATAGATAGTTGATCTAATTGTCAACGTGTGGAAGTTTACTCACCCAAGATTTATGAGATTTTTGGTCATTTATTAAAAAATGAATTGTTCATTTGTTCTATGTTTTGTAGTAGATGGTAGATGAAATAAATATTTGTAGCCATGTATAGATGATATAGATGATATAGATGATATAGATATAGATATAGATATAAATATAGATATAGATATAGATTTATAGACATAGATATAGATGTATTTGGCTACAAATATATATGCATGTGTGTATGTGTGTGTGTAAAGAGGAAGAGGGGAAGGAGAGAAGGAGGGAAAAAGAGGGGACAGAGAATGAGAAATTCTGATGTGCGCTCTTTTAGGAAATTGATGACCTCACCTTTACCCAGAGTGGTGATGGAACAGAGTGGTCACGGCCCTTGTCTTCTCCTGGTTGACAACAGAAGGAGCGTATTATTCAGAGCCCTGAGAAAATATCCCTTCACCTGAGTTGGTCCAGTGTGCTTTATTCTTAGGCTCTATCTTGGATTTAAAATATTCCATCAGTTGTTTTATAAACATGTATTTACCTCCAGGGAAGGATTAGACTATACATCAAAATGACAGCAGAGGGATGGATCACAAATGAAAATGTTTAGTTTTCTCAGGTTAGTTTTGAGATGTTTTACAGCAGTAGTGGAAGTAGGGATTCCATTCAACGTTGTCAGAATACAAGAAAACACAATTTTTCTTTTACCCTTGAATGTGGAATGACATTCATTTATGCATTCATTTATTGAGTGTCTAGTAGGTGCCAGGTGATTTGCTAGGCCCACATGATATAATGCTGGAAAAACAAAACAAAACAAAAAAACACCCAGTCCCTGCATTCATGAAGTTTGAAGGAGAAGATGGATATATAATCTAGTGAAGAAAGGCAACATTATTCAAGGAATCATGTTAATGTTGTGTAATTTTATACTGATGCTCTGAAACGAAGAGAAACTGATCTATGAACTGGAGCAACTACAAACTGTACCTCAGGGTCAGTTTTATGGGGAAGGAAGGTTTCTTGATGAATATGTTTGATATGTGAAGGCCTTTGGGTGATAAATGGGAAAGAAAAGGGCGCATTTCAAATAGAGGAAATAGCATAAAAAATAGAGTAGAAATTAACAAAATAAGTTCAAAGAACTGAATGAAGATTAATATGGCTGAAAAGCAGTTATTTAGAGGAGAACAAAGGCACGCAGGGCCTAGATTCTGTGGGAGCTTGCAGGCTATGCCAGTATTTATTTTTTAAATCTTAAAGGTGAATGAGTATATCTTAAAGTTACTAACAAGGGCAGTAACATCATGATGTTCAGCTTTGACATGATCACTCAGGCTGTTATCTGGAGACTTGATTGAAGGTATATGTGCGTTAATGTATAAGTCTAGTATGGGTGTGATTGGGGCAGTTTAGGGGAAAAAATGGTACTGATAGCTTGAGCTAGTAGACTTGGAGAGAAAGTGATGTTTGGAATATATATATAAATATATATATTTGTATATATATATATAAATATATATGTATTTAAGATTTATTGGGGAATTGGGGGAGGGGAACAGCATTGGGGAATCGGGGAAGGGGAACAGACAAGTTGTTGTCCTTTTGTTCTTCAGTCTAGTTGTGGAGGATGTCGCTTCACTGGCCCATGTTGCTATTGTGATCATTGTCTTCACGGGTGAGGCAGTCTCTCGCCGGCCACTGGATGGCCACTCAGCCTGGCTGCCAGCCACTCATGGTAGCTCACACCAGCTGCCAGCCAGCCCCACTGCAGCCTACTCCATCACCAGGGACTCACGGCAGCCCAGCTCCAGGTCGAAATGTTGTTCACCATCTTAGCTATAGAGGGCACAGCGTCACTGGCCCTCATGTGGGATCCGAACCGGGGCCCTGCTGCTCAGAGCTGGTGCTCCCAAGCCAACTCAACCAATGCACCATTCGGCTGGCCCTGGGAGATATACTTTGAATGTAGAAATAACAGAACTTACTGATGGGTTTAGTATGAAAGTTAAGAGAAAGATTTCAAGGATGTCTCCATTGTTTCTATTTGAGTAAATGGATGAATGAAAATCTGGGAAAGCATGATTTTGTAGGGGTATGTATACCATGAGGAGATGCTTTTCAAACATGAAGGTGGAGCTGTTAAGTAGGCTGGCTTGCTATTCCAGTCTGGAGATAGGATGAGAAGCAATACATATATTTAAAATCATAGACTATGTTGAAAAAATTTAGGCTGAATTAATGGAGTAGGGTGAGTGGCTAGCAGTGAGAGCTGATAAAATATAGTATTTAGTAGCAAAGTAATGGAGTAGGATTAACTCCCAAAAGAACTGAGCAGTTTTCACATATTTTATAGAAACAGAAGAGAGGAGTGTCACAGATACCAAGTAAAGTGTTTCTTGAAAACATAATTATTACTTTGATGCAGTGATGGAAATAGAAACATGATTGAGGTAGACTAGGGTTCAAAAATGGACAGAATAAAAAAAATAGCTATTTAATAGCAGGGTTAATCAACTGGTTAAGTTTCTCAAGAAGTCAAATGTACTGATTGGCTTAGGAGGAGAAAGAGCCCCTCTATTATCACAGTAGAGATGCATTGGTGAAATGAAATATAATTGAACTCAAGGGTTTGTTTGGAAAAAGGCTGAGCATTTATGTGATAATAAATTTATGCCATTTTACAATTTTTCTGGTATACCCAAAAATGTAGAACAGAGTCATAGGGATTTTATTTTAAAGCACTTATGAAGCAATTTTCTAGGAGATGCCCTTTTAGATTGACACTATTGGGACAATGCATTCATAACTCAATATAACCCATCTGCATAGTTTCTGCTGCACCTCAGTTTATTAAATACCTTCCATAGAAGACTTTCTTATTAATGCCTCAACAGTCTTTACCATGAATTATAATAACTATAGTTTTAGGAAGCATTATTCATCAAATGTACTCAAAGAAGGATTCTAGGTTTATAAATATGTTGATAATTGCATTCTGTATGGATGCTTAGAAAATTAGCCACGGTTTAATATTTTCTCTCAATCTGCTGTTATTAATTTTCTCATCAATACATTTTTATTGGCCCTTATATTTCTACTTACTTAATGTTGTGTAAGGCAGTATGAGTGAGAAAAACAAACAGTATTTTTTATGCTCAAGAGGATCATAATTTATATTTGGAGATGCTTACCTGTTATGGATTGTTTTGATTAGGTCTGTGGAGATTTTTTTTGTGCTGTTTAATACTTCTTGATACATATATTTAATACGTAATGCCTTTTCTGATTACTTGCAATGCTAATTTTCACAGGTGAAAGCAATAAGGATGTTTAAGTGCTGGTCAGCTGTTTTGGTACTTGGATTCATTTTTCTGGAGTCAGAAGGAAGGCCAACCAAAGAAGGAGGATATGGCCTTAAGTCCTACCAGCCTCTAATAAGGTTGCGACACAAGGTACAGTCACCATTCTGAATTTGCTTAGCATGCCTATCAATTAGAAACTGAACTATAATATTACTTGTCTGGCTTACTATTTGCTCATGAGCTGTTATTTCAGAATATGCTTTCAGAATATAATTTCCACATTGTGAAAAATGCACATTTTAACACAAAATGGCATTAACTTGGGAAATTTTTAATTTGGAGAATTAAATACTTCTTGGCAAAGTATAAAGATGGCTTATTTAAAATGTGTTGTTAATGTTGAGAAGTTATAGTAATGGATTTATAAAAATAAGTAAATATGTTAAGACCGAATCAACCAGATAGTTTCTATTATTTCCATATTAGTTTTAAGTTTAGAGCTCCTTAAACTAAAACAAAAGTGCTGTTTTCTTAAGTTTGTCATAAAGATAAACAAAAAGGATGTTTATACTATGTGGAAGTATATAGGTTGGCAAAGAATTAAAGAAATCATTAGACATTTTCATTTCATCAAAAATCATAACTTTGGATTGTCTAATGTTGGGAAAATACTTAACTTCTTTATGTTAAATATTTTCAAGTATAAAATAAATTGACATTTAGGTTTACTGTAAACTGTATAGATTACATGCTTAAAGTAAATTATGCTAGTGCTTTTATTTGAATAACAGATCATGATACTGCAAATAACGTACTCAAGTAAATCTTTATTAAATCAAATAAAAGTTTATAATACACTGTGGTTTTCATAGAAAGTAGAAAAAAGACAAAAATAACATGCTAGTTATGGGAGAAAATAATACTGTTTTTTAGAAATGTCTTATACTACTTGTCTTAAAATAACACTTTTGAAATAAACAATTATAAGTATATTAATTTTCTCCCTTACATTCAATACATGCCATTGGTATATCAATTGTATATATCATTGCTGAAATTCCTTCCTAAAATTATAATATTTTGTTAAAATAGCTAACCTATACTGGGACTTTTACGTGCCAGACATCAGGCTAAGATCTTAAGTGTTTATTTTATCTTCAGAATAATCTTATGAAGATGTACCTATTTTCATGTTATAAATGAGAAATATTAAGGGGATTTTGAATGCATGCATTTATTAAATATATTAATTGGCTAGGGATAACACACAGGGTAGGTTTGATAGCCAGAATAAAGAAAGTAGGTAAAATGTAAAATTATACTTCAATGTCAAATATCATTGTAGAGGCTCAATCACATATAAATGTAAGTAAGATATTACATTTTCTAGTCTGGGTAAAGACAACTGAAGAATTAGCCTTGTTCTGCTATCTTTTGATTATCAGTCCTATCCCCTACCTCATGGACTAATCATCAGTTTTATCTCAGCCCAAAGATTAGAAATAATAATTCCTTTGTGAATGCTCTCAAAACATGTTACTAATACAACATATTGGCTCACACTGCTACACACCCAGTGAACATTTATTCTGTGCTGTGTGTCTGCCCTAAGTTACACACCTTGATGCCAAAAACCACACCTATTTAATCCTTTCATTCCTGTGTCATGAACATGGTAGATACTATTTAATTGCTTCCCTGCAAGTCTTTACCTCTAAATAGTTAGAAATAAAACATGATTGCTGGTATTTAAAAGCACAGAGGCAGAGAAACTCTTGGTGATACCTAACTTTCAAGTAACTTGGGACAGAGAGGTGAAATTAAGCTGCAAAAGGCATTTTGTGAGTGTGTGTATGTGTGTGTGCATGCATGTGAGTGTGTGGATTTGGCAAGAGTAAAGAAGCACCCTGAACGGGCCGGCCGAGTGGCTCAGTTGGTTAAGAGCTCGCTCAAGAGTTTGAGCTCTGAGCAACAGTGGTTCGATGCCAGCCCGAGCTGAGCAGCCGCTAAGCTACCAATAGGTAGCAGGATGGCTCAGCTAAAAAAAAAAAAAAAAAAAAAAAAAAGAAGCACCCTGAGCTGTGTAATTCCCTGCAAAAACCCACCAGATAATTTTCACTCCTATGCAACCCTCACTTGACCACAGGTAACTATCTTTTCTTCTTCAAGAGTTTGAAGACTATTCTCATTATAGTCTTTGTTTTTGTATGTGTCAGTCATTATTTGGATTCCAGAAATACCTGGTCATCCTTTTTCCACTAATTCTCATTCCAATTAGGTCATATACTACTTTATGGGTGAGGCTTTCCCACACTATAATTAAAAATGGAACAGCCATACACATTCCCTATCTCCCCCCACCCTTTTTTAACAAAAATAATTACTTATTTTTCAACTATAGTTGACATACATAAGACTTCTTCTTAAAGAAGTCTCTTTAACATTTCTTTTACTACTGATTTTGTGGTGATGCACTCCTTTAGTGTTTCTCTCGTCTGGAAAGCCCTGTCTGTTCTTTGATTCTAAACGATAGCTTTGCTGGGTAGAGTAATTTTGGTTGTAGGTCCTTGCTTTTCATGACCTTGAATATTTCATGCCAGTCCCTTCTGGCCTGCAGTTTCTGTTGAGAAATCTGCTGATGGACTTATGGGAGCTCCCTTGTAGATAACTGTTTTTCTCTTGCTGCTCTTAAGATTCTCCCTTTGTCTTTAACCTTTGGCATTTTAATTATGATGTGTCTTGGTGTAGGCCTCTTTGGGTTCATCTTGTTTGGGACTCTGAACTTTCTGGGCTTGTATGTCTATTTCCTTTACCAGGTTATGGAAGTTTTCTGTCATTATTTCTTCAAATAGGTTTTCAATTCCTTGCTCTCTCTCTGTTCTCCTTCTGGTAACCCTACGTTGCAAGTGTTAGTATGCTTGACGCTGCCCCAAAAGTCCGTTAAACTGTCCTCTTTTTTTTGGATTCTTTTTTCTTTTTGCTGTTTTGATTGAGTGTGTTCTGCTACCTTATCTTCCAAATCACTAATTCCATCCTCTGCTTCATTTAATTTACTGTTGCTTCTCTCTGGTGTATTCTTTCTTTCAGTTATTGTATTCTTCATTTCTGACTGATTCTCTTACGTTTGTTATCTCCATTTTTACATTTCTTTTCTCTTTGTTGAAATTCTCACTGAAATCATTGAGCATCCTTATAACTAGTGTTTTGAACTCTGTATCTGGTAGATTGCTTGTCTCCATTTTGTTTAGTTATTTTTCTAGTGTTTTGTTTTGTTCCTTTATTTTGGGCATGTTTATTTGTCTCCATTTTTGGCTGTCTACTGTGTTTTTTTCTAAGTATAGGTAGAGCTGGCATGTCTCCTGGTCTTAGTAGAGTGGCTTTATATAGTAGGTGTCCTGTGGGGCCCAGTGGAGCAGCCTCCCTAATCACCTGAGCTGGGTGCTTCAGGTGTATCCCTTGTGTGCATTGTGTGTGCCCTCCTATTGTAGTTGAGCTTTGGTTGTTGTTTACACATCAGTGGGAAGGACTGACCCTCAGGTTGATTGGTTGTGAGAACTGGCATTGAGTACCATGGAAGAGCTGTTGTGCAGGATTTGCTTTGGGGTTCTGAGATCTGCCTGGTCTTCTCTTTGGGTTTGTCTTTTGTATATGTGGTTAGATGGTGCTCTGGTGTGGTCTGAAACTGGCCACCAGGTGTACTGGTTTGGGGGCCTCTTGGGAGGGGCTCTATTGCTGACCAAGATCAGCTTTTGCCTGTGCCCTGCCCGGGGCCACTTGGTATGAACTACAAAGTTATCTGTAGATGTTTTCCACTTGAGCTGGGCTTAGAAGTGCCTGGAAGAGGTTCAGCTATGACCTGAGGTCTCCTGCCACTAGTGCTGGACTTGGAGCTGCCTAGCAAGAGGTATGGGGCATGCTGAGGCCAGATGCTGCTTGTTTGGGGTGTTTGAAACTTTGAGAGATTTTAGAAAAGTCTGCAGCATAAGCCAAGACAAGCCATTTGTATGGAAAAACACCTGGAAGTGGCTTGGGTGAGCCCACAAGTTGGGTGGAGCAGGGACTCAGGGAATCACCAGGGCAGGGCAAATGAATGGTATTAGCCAGGCTGATGGAGACCCAGATATCGTAGCCATCTAAGTCTGCACTGTAGCTAGGGGGAGGACTCAACAAAGAAAAAGTGGCCTCTGCTAGCCCTTCTGTCTGGGAGGAAGCTGCCCCTCCTGAAGTCAGACAATTCAGTTATTCCCCATCTGTCTCTGGCACCTTTTGAGCTGCTGCCCTAGCATTGGAGCTTAGAGCAAGCAAGTTTATCAGCAAGTAAATCCATGCACAGGCTCTTTAAGAGGAGTGACTAGGACTTCAGATGCCTTCTGCCTCACTGAGCCACAATCTCCACTGATTTTCACAGCCAGAATTTTGGGGAACTTCTCTTCCTGGCACTGGAACCTTACGTTGTTGAACATAGTGTGGGCCTCGAACTCTTAACTTCTTCGGGGGACCTCTGCAGCCAAGATAGTCCTCCAAATTTTTAACTGCCACATATGAGTGTGGGACCAGTCCATTCCACGTCTCCACCCCTCCTGCCATTCTCAACGTGGCTCCTTCTGTATGACCATAGTTGTAGCCTTTGGTTCAGCTAGACTTTAGATGGTTCTCAGTGATGGTTACTCCATAGTTCAGTTGTAATTTTGATGTGGTTGTGAAGGGAGGAGATCATAGTGTTTACCTACCCAGCCATCTTGAGCGGAACACCCCTCTCTCCCCCTTTTTAATTTATTTTCATCTGTAGAACTCACCATTCCTTAAGCTATGTATTTTGTTTATTTATTAGTTTATTGGATGTTTACTAAAAACATGATGTAAACTACTTTTTTTTAGCAGTTATTCTTTGTTTAATCCTCAATTATTTGACATTTGAAGGAGAATATCTCCACAGTATGTGCTTAATGCATAATAATTAATATCTATTTTTTAATTTTTATTAAGTTTATTGGGGTGACATTGGTTAGTAAAATTACATAGGTTTGAAGTGTACATTTCTATTATAAGTTACTATTAATCTTGCTGTACTCCAGCACCAACAGTGTTTGGCACATGGTAAACACTGGGCAAATATATTTGGAAATAATGACTCTATCTGCTGACTAGAAT